GTCGAGCATGGCTACGTCCTCGCACCTTCGCTGCGCCGTCACTCGTTCAGCCTGGCCGCTTCAATGGAGAACCCGATCGCTGCCTATTCTTCGACCAGAAGCACATCGCCCCCCACCCGAACGGTGCGCGGGGCGCGTTAGCGGCCGCGAGATTCCCGGCATGTCCGAGGGCGCGCGCCTGGATGCGCGCGACGGCTGCTGGGTGAAGCACAACAGCGCGGCCATGGCATTACATTGCGGCGGCGAGGGGCGCCTCGACAGCGACGACGCCAAGGGGCAGTTTACAGCGTTGAGAACGGATATTCAGCGCCCTTTATCCATGCAGAGCGCGCGCCAGCAGTCACCCCTCCACGCTGCCTGATTCTGAAGCGCCAGCTCTTGGCGAGCCCGAGTTCACCAGTCAGGAACGCGAGCCCCACATGCGAGAAGTCCCCCTGGAAGCCATCGCGCAGGCCACCGCTGCAGCCAAGGAAAACGGGGCCCTCGGACAAGGCTGACGGCGGCAGGGTGCCTCGGGCCAGCGATTCGGTAGATTATATACCACCGGCCAACCAATTCCAAAAGTGGCCGCGGTGGATGGAGGGGTTTTTGCACCGTCGCCGGGGGCAAAGAAGAGCATTGACAATGTGGCCGAATATTCCCGGTGCGAAACTGACATTATGTATTGAAATATTAGCGTTCGGGGAATCGGTCATGCACAACATGGCCACGAGGGCCATTCTTTCATATATGTATACACGCATATATATAGTTATATATATATAACCATATGTGTGCGCCCTTGCCGCGGGAATGGCGCCCGTCGCGTGCATGTCTAGGCGTGAGGAGGTCTATCGATTGTCTTTGGGTCGCAAACCTTCCCCGAAAGTACACGTAGCGTTACAGCGCGTCGTCAGCGGCGTGGACTGGGAGCGACGGCGCGACGACAGCATGGACGGATGGCCCGAGCAGCATCCTCTTTCGCGAGATTTGAAGGAGCGGATCGCAGTACATTAGTCTACTACGACAGCGGTGTCCAGCCTGGCGATCACTTCTACGAGTCCACCAACGCGCCTCTCAATATCCATGACACCACCGACAGCAATCATGCTCGCATCATATAATGCATGATTGCGGCCCGCCAGATCCACTCTTTCGACGAGGACCGCACTCGATTTCCTGATCTAGCAGACGGCCCTGGAGTTGGTGGAGACCGCGGAAACGCGAACCATCCTGAAATGCAACGCCAATGGCGTCAGCACGCGGAGATGGGCGTCGATCTACAAGTGGCGAAGGCGAGGACGAACAAGAGGAAGACGCCATGACTTTACACGATAGGTACCAGGACCTCATGGATATTGAGCACATGTGTTCAGAATCATGGGCTCTAGCTGAACAGCTTCCGGACCTCCATTTCGCACAAACTCCTGTGATGCTGACCAAGATGGCCCCTTTGCCGTATGAGCATGATCACCACCTGTGCACAATACTTGATTGGTCTTCGTTCTAATGAACAAAGTGACCTCATGTTCTCACACTGGCGTCCTTCTGCAGTTCTCGCGATGGTCGCTCGCATTTCTGATGTTCATGAAACATGCGGCTATGATTTATTTTCTGACGATGATGGCCGATCCGCGGAACTATGCATCACCGAGGATATGGCCAAAGTGGCGGTTGAAGAACCACAACTCGAAGCGCCGCGGCCAGGCGGGATTGCCACTGTCTGCGTCTCTGCGTTGGGTGATTGGCTGAAGCCGAGCGCGCTGCAGTAGTTCGCGGGGCTGATCGACTCGCGAAGCAAGACGCCACCCAAAACGCCAAGCAGGTGGCTTCAGCACTCTTCGCGATGCTTCGCCACGGAGCTGTTGTCCAAGGCCCAGAACTGCATGGCCTCGGGATGCGCGTGCAATTTGATGTTCACGAAGACCGGCCCTGAAATATGGTGTGGAACATAATGCGGCTTCGCCTTGCGCTCAGCGGCGTCATTGACCAAGAAGCTTAATCCGTGGAGACCTCGGGGACGGCGCGACGTGCATCCCAGCGCCTGTTGGCTAGTGCAGCAGCATGCCGTCAATGCTGGGTTCCATCTAGCCTTGATGTAGATAGGGCTTCCTTCAAGGGGCTTACATGCGAAGAGCTGGCTGACGCCAGCAATGTTACTACGCTGCGTGCGTTGCCAGGGCTTGAGGATCGCGATGAATGACGACGCTGATTGAGAAGTCTCAAACCCAGCACAGGCACCAACGATGTTCCCCGACTTTTTTTTCTGCGAAGCTCGTGAAGCTAGAGGCCGCGGAGCACGTTGGCCTAAAGCCCATGTCCAACGAGGCCATGCAGGACTTTCTCACAGCTCAACGCGTCTACCATCTCACGACGTGTGAGCATGAATCGCACAGTGGTGCGTGCGTCAAGCAGGTAGAGCAGGCATTCGGTAAGTGCGAGTTGAACAATCTCATCTGCGCGATCTGCGCGGTGAGAGCTACGCAGACGGAGAATGGGGATGTGGTCCTGGACCAGGGCGAATCTAGCATGCAGCTTCGATCCGTCGCTCATCGCGATCTTAACGGAGCTCACCTAGAGGCAATGGTCAGCGATGTCGTCAGTGACTTGTTTGTAGACTTCGGGGTGCGCGCCCAGTCCGCTCTCGCACAGTTCAGAATTTTGGCGCGCGCTGTTTCATTGCGATGTATTCAGAAACCAGCATGCAGGCCGGACGTCTGAAGGCCCTCGCCCGCGAGGTTTTGCCGTGGCCTCCGAAGATCACCGACCAGGCCACGGCCCCCGATGAAACTGTAGACCTGCGCAGCGTCTCTGGGTGCAGGGGGCTCACTGGTGAGGGGGGCGACAAGACCAGGGGCCACGGCCTTCGAGGTTGCCGCCTGTTGCGTCGCGCAAACACGAGCAGCGGGGGGGGGGCGCGCGTCGCATCGAAAGCGTCTGCGCAGCTTATCGCCTTCAGGTCAGGTCCAGCTCGCAGTTGCCGCCGCTCGCAGTCTCGACGAATGTCGCTTCGCATTCGTAACATCACATGAGATCATCAAGGGGCCGCTGACCCCATCTGAATTCAAACGCATCCAGGAATGCGGCGGGCCCTGCGCCCGAGCGCCACCGACGACTGACGCTGGGTCGGCGTGCGAACCTTCTCCCGGCAAGGATCTCGGGACACCTGCTCGGAAGACGCCATTGAGACACATCGTTTGGCTGAGAGAGTCTCTCGGCCTTGGCGCCATTGACAACGACCAGCTGCGCAGCGCCCAAGACGCGGCCGCGGATTGCCGCGCCGAGGGCGCCATCGGCCGCGACCGACTTCTTCGAGTCATTGGAGTGAGCCTTCATCAGTCACCCTTTGGTCCTGGCAGGACCGGCTCTGGCACGGCCTGCTCGAGCTGCATCGTCCAGCTTCCTTCTGCCCAGGACATTCTGGTGCTGAGATGCTGGACTCGCGGAAACGTGATTCCAGTTCTAGGTATCTTCATGTCTATGCACTATGGCGGTCGTTGGATATCTTCAGCTACAGATCTCGTTCACAATGCGCTGCGTCAGTGGCTCGAGCTTCCAGCTGCTGATACCTTTGCACTGCACAGCGACCCGTGAGGCATATGCCATGGCGGTGGCGGGCAAGCTTGTTCCCCCACCCCCCCTCCGAGATTGCGAGAAATGCTCCGAGGGGGAGCGACTGCGTGGCTTGCTTGAACGGCCGCTGTCGGAGCTCAAGGCGGCGCAACCCCACTTGCCCGCGTCGCTTCCGCGACGTATAATCTGCGGCGGCGCGGAAGAAAAACTGGCGTTTTTTCTACCCGCGCTGCTGTCACCGCCATCGCGCCCTGCAGGCTTTTTTGTTTGCCGTGCCCTCCATAATTCCAGTATGAGATGGCGAACTCCGCGTCGACTGCCAAGTGCGATCAATCTTGAACGGGGCCCCACCCGAAGAGACGCAAACATAAGTTCCAGAACCGCGATGCGTCGAGGTTCCATATACACGCGAAGAATCGTGCATCATCTGCACGCGAAGCGCTTTGTATCTATCCGACTCGATGGGATCCTCCATTTAGCTTTCTCAGCGTTCAGCACCATATTACTTTGCTGCGCCATGATGCACGCTTCGTTCTCCCCCAGAATGTCCCCTTTGTGTGAGATGTTTGTCAGGAGCTGAGTAGGCGAAATTCAGCGGGCTGGATTCGATCTTTGTCTCCATCATCATCCACTGTCCTCTCCCGTTCTTCATCCTGTTTCTGTCTTCCTCCTCCTCCTTCCTGTCTTCCTCTTCTTGTTTCGCTCCCTCGTCTTCTTCCACGATCAACCTCCCTTCATGAGTTTCCTCGTCCTCATCTTCCCGTTGCTGCTGCTTCTTCTGCTGGCCCTTCATCCGCCTCTTTCCTAGGTGGCAAAGGCTTGGAGGTTCTGTAGGAGCCTTGGCCCATTCGGGGACATAGACCCCTGGACTGGTCGGCCCTCTCAGCTTAGAGCGAAGCTTCCAGCAACGCCAGCTCGTCCTCATCCGCCTCCAAACTTCGTCGGCCCCATGCGTCCTCCTCGTTCTCTGTTTTTTGTAATCCTCTTCCTCCTCCTCTTCATTTTCTGCCTCCTCCTGATGAGGACGGGAGGGAAGTGGACCCCATTTTTTTATTCTGGGCACCGCGGGTCTGAAGGTGCCCTGCTTTTCCGACCGCGGACCACCATTCTCGGGCTCCCGTTCGCGTTCGTTTTTTTCCTGCGCGCCTTCCGCATGGGGACCGGGTGGATTCGAGCGGGAGGAGGACAAATGTTAGGAGGGACAAAAAACACACAGACACAATTTATCGTCGATTCCCAAGAACATTTGGGAAAATATGGGAAGTGGGGGGGAAGACGAAAACCAAGAAAATATGAGAAAATATGGTGAATCCTGTTGTTTGTGTGTATTTATTTGTGTGTCCCAGGGCCCCTTCAAAATGGCGGCGGGAGAGGAGTGGAGGGCAAGGGGGTCCTCCCCCTGCCCCTGCATGCCGCCCTCCCCGGCGCTGCTCTCCCCCGCTGCCCAGGTCGTGCATCTTCGAGGACGCGGCCGGTGCAGCTGGCTCGAAGAGGCGCGCGCTCGGGCGAGGAGGAGGAGGAGGTGGAACAGGAGGAGGAGGAGGAGGAGGAGGAGGAGGAGGAGGAGGAGGAGGATCGAGGAGGAGCAGGAGAACCGGCCGCACGTAAGCGCGACCCTTCGCTGGAGTGACCGTTGGTGCGGGCCTACAGGGGTCCCCGTGGTCGGAAGAGGAGGGGCAGGAGGACCGGCCGCACGTAAGAGTGACCCTTCGCCAGAGTGACTTCCGGTGCGGCCCCACAGGGGTCCCCCTGGTCGACGAGCGCGGTGCGACAGCAGCGGCTTGCGCGCTTGGGTGTTGCCTCCGCGCCCTCCCTAAACTGTAAAGCCGCGCGCCACAGGTCACTTTACGTTTCCTCGCAGCCATTTGTTTCCGGCCGATGGAAAGGCGAGCAAACAGAGGAGGAGGAGGAGGAGGAGGAGGAAGAAGAGCAGGAGGAGGAGGACCCATGTAGACCCAAGACCCATCAATGATGTTGGAATGAAACTTCCCTCCAAGCTCCCTCTTCATAGGCCCCTACGAAGATTCATTTCCACTGAGGGAAGTGCCCCGTTGAGAGACAATCGTTTGAGTACCTTGAAGCGTGCCAAGACACCATTCTCGGGACTCGAACGCCCTTTTTGTGGCAAGAGTTCTGATTGCTATCTGACCATCTTTTCCCGCAGCCGTTGTGGAAACCCTTCGGGGAACACGTGCGGGAAGGTGTGCGGTTCCAGCTCCGACGGCGGTGATCGGAGTCAAGGACCGCGGCCGCCTCTCTGGGTACGTGCGAGGAGGAGGAGGAGGAGGAGGAGGAGGGGGAGGAGGGGGAGGAGGGGGCAACGTGGGAGCCTCTGGGGGCACTCTTAGGACCTCCTGGGAGCTTGCTGGGAGCCTCTTGGAGACATCTTGGGGGCCTCGTTGAGCCTCTTGGGGGCCTTCGGGGGCATCTCGGGGGCTTAGGGCTTTCCTGGCCAGTCTGACGCCGTCGGAAGCCGTCTTGGGGGCTTTTTTTGGCCGGATTGGGGCCCTCTTGGGGTGCTCCAGGGCCATCTTGGAGACCATCTTGGGCGTCTTGGAGGCCTCTTGGGCCGTCTTGGGGGCCTCTTGGGCCGTTTTGGGGCCTTCTTGGAGGCCCCTTCGGCGATCGTGGGGCGATCGCTGCGGCCTCTTGGGCCGTCTCGGGCCGTCGGTAAGCCGAAACGAAATCAAGCACCTCAGGAAAATCAATGATGTTGGCCTCTTCGGGCCTTCCTGGAGTCCCTATTCCTGGGGCTCTCTTGGGAGCGTCTTGGGCCATGTTTGAACATCTTGAAGCCATTTTGGGCCGTCTTGGGTGCATCTTGGGCCGTCTTGAGTGCATCTTGGGGCTATCGTGGGCTCTCTTGGGGCCGTCGTGGCAGTCTTGGAGGCGTTTTGGAGTCATCCTGGAGGCCATCTTGGGCCATCTTGGCCGTCTTAGGGGCGATCTGGGCAACGGGAGACGAAATTCGGCCACCGCGGCGCGCCGGACCGAAGCCCCAGGGGGAGTTCTTTTGGAAAAAGAACCAACACCAAGCCGTGTAGAATTTAGCACGCCAGGCACCCCTGTGGCAAGCCAACAGGGGCGGCGGATCAGAGCTTGGGACGAGTGGCCTTCGGCACATTCCGCCACCGTGCCTGGGCTGGGGGTCAGTAGCCTCTTGGATGGATACGAAGGTCTCTTGGGATGCCACTGAGGGACCTTTCAGAGGACTCTTGGGTGCATTTGAAAACATTTTCCATGCATCATCTGGCTTTGGGGGGCGCCTCGGGGGCCTCTGAGGGGCTCTTCGGGCCATCATGGGGGGAAAGGCTTGAACTATCAGTTCGTATTCTCTTCTTGGGCTCTCTTGGGGCCCTCTTGGGGCTCTCTTGGGTCATCTTGGGGCCACATGGAGCCCTCTTTGGCTGTCTTGGGGCCCTCTTGGGGGCCTCATCGGCCGTCTTGTGACGATTTTGTGGGCCCCTTGGGCAGTCTGAGAAGCTATCACTCTTGGGGCCTCTGCGGCGGTCCTCTTGGAACACTCTTGGGCCGTCTTTGAGGTCGTGTGGGCCGTCTTGTAATCATTTGGGGTCCTCGTGGGGCTGGCTACTCGGGCCGTTTCGACGCTCGCTTCGATTATCTTGGCGCTCTGTCTGAGCCCTCTTGGAGCGCTTCGGAGGCTCGAGAGGCCCAGAGGGTGCGTTGACGAGCTCGTGCCCCCCTCAAACGGCATGTTGGACCCCAGGGGAGGCAGAAAGGGGGAGGGGGGCAACCAAATGTCTCACACGTCTTTTCACTCCTGGTAAGCGGGATCCGCGGATGCGTATGTACTGTATTGTGCTCCGCAGAACTCCACTGCACCGCACTAGACAGTACTGCCCTGAGCTGCATGTTGATTCGCACCTTTGCTGGCGTGTGATCTACGGTCTACGTTTGCATGTGCACGTTCGAGTACGCAGACATGTTGATGTCTTGGCATGTGCTGTGTTTAGCTCATTGTCATTGAAGTGAGTTGGGAAGTTCAGTGCAGCAATGCGACGCAGTTCATCTAAGCGAACTGCAGCTCGGATGTGTCGAATCATCCGCATGCAACGCAATGACACTTTGCATCATCAACGCGGTCGCAGAGCATCTGCTTTAAAGAGTGTCTTTGACGGGCAGGCTCTTTAGAGTAGCTACCGCCGTGGTTGGAATCTGCCTAGCCTTGAGCCCACTCGGATATCACTTGGGTTATGAAAAAGATGGCCCGATATTCTCGAAATCCGCATGCGCATGCAATGAAAGCGGTGTCTCCAGCTTCTCCCTCAACGACGTCGGGTCTGTCTACGAGTGCCAGGCCGCCCCATCTTTGGTCTCCGCGATGCGGCCGTTCAGCTGTAGGTAGCTTCGACGAGGATGGCAAGTGCAAGTGCGCACGGTGCATGCATCTTAGGCGGCGAAGTGTTAGCGACACCTGTGCAGAAGTTGACCAGGGCGGCGGCGATTCTGGTTGACACAGCCACACATGATCGCCGACTTACAGAAATGTTGGAACATATGGGAAGTGGGGGGAAAAGAACATCCAGAAAATATGGGAAAGTATAAGGGAATTCTGGGATTTGTGTCTATTTGTTTGTGTGTCCCTGGGTCCCTCCAGATGATTGCTCGGAGCAAAATGTGGGCTGCAGGCGCAGCTCAGATCCCCTTCAAGCTGGCCAGATGCCCCTGCTTTTTGGCGGCTGGGGGCCCTCGGGTTGTAGCACGCCGCTAATGCATGCCACGCGCGTGTCAGAGTCGATTGCTATCGTTTCTGCTGCGAGCGACGACGCCGCCTCCAAATGCTGCACGGCCTTCGTGGCCTCAGTATCAATCAACGTCTGACTATTACCTCCTCACCCTTCTCCCGCTCAGGAGAAGCTCAATGATGACCCTCCTGAATGCGAGGGTGCCTTCGTGCAGTTACCCCCTCAGGCACCTGCAGTGATGCTTGAAATCAAACCCCGCCGCGCCCGACCCTGAGCCGAGCGCTGACCCCATCGAACTGCTTGCCTTGCCTCCTCCCGCCCTCCCTCCAGACCGCACCTGCCAGCCCCCGGTGAGGCCCAGTGTGTCCGGTGGGCCCCCTGCGTGGCCGTGGAGTACGACGGATCCCGCAAGCGCTGCCAGCTTTCGCCACGCCGGGCGTCCTCGACAAAGCCGGTCGCCCGCTCAGGGCGTGCGGCGGCGGGAGAGGTGCGGCTGGGCCAGGCCAGTGACGAGGGTGGGGACGAGGACGTGGCGCGAGGGCGGAACAGGGGGGGGAGGAGGACGGAGAAGGGGGGAGAGGGATGAGGGGGGCGAGGGGGAGAGAGAGGAATGGGGAATAATAAT